ACATTGGTGAGGATCCAGCCCTATTGATACCAGGCTGGACTTTCTCCAGAGGTGATTTATTGTCATACTACTTACAGAATCATGCTGCAAAATTAATACAAAAAGTCCACATCCACCCGCAGACATGCACGCTCCAATGTGCCCATGCAGGTAAGGATCCTGGATGAGCTTTCCAAAGACTGTTACTGCCCCATTTCAGTAAGCAAACATTTAATTTCTGTGTCTTGCAAGAGATCCCCATTGGAAAAAAACACAGGTGAGTTGCTATTTGCTTTAAGAGGTTTTGAAATTTACATGTAATTGAGGACTTGATTTGCAACTTTCACTTAAAACATAGGGTGGGTTTTTTTTTTCCCCCATTTCTCCCTTGCTGTTCTACTACAGCTAAAATTTGGCATTACTAGCAAACTGGAACTAATCCATAATTTCAAGATGTATGTTGGTTTCCAGCAATGTGGCCTGGGCCACTGTCGTAAGTTTCCAAATCATTTATATATAATTTGATCCTGTTTGGTAAAATATTTGAACTTAGTTGTATGTGATATATATCAGTGTACGAAATCATCTGCTTGTTTCTTGTCTTTGTTCTAGCATAGTTACAGAGCAGTAAGTGATTTAGTGGTACTGCAAACCTGAACTGAGTAATAATGCATAACCTGGCATACTGTATGTGGGATTTTATCTGTTCCGAATCGAGAAAATAGGCTATAAGTCACAAATTTCCATGGATACCTTTCAAAGTTTAAATGATAAATTTCCAAATTAAATTTTCATGTGATATAGTCTCACATTAATATTGAAATGTTAAAATGGAAGGTTTTTTTTTTTCTGCCACACAGGATCTTACGGCATTATGGAGCTTAAAAATCACAGTAGGTGGAAATTCTTTATACATTGTATAAGAAGAGTGAGAAAGACTTAAAGGGCTTTTAGTGAGGTGACAGTCTGCGAATTTAAGCTGGTATGTGGCATGATAATAAACTGCAACTGTTTTGGGACTTCTTGATCCTGACTTGGCCGGTGTTTACAGAGGTGATCTATGTTGCTAATGTTTAAGCAATAATTATTCT